AATACATTCTGAAATTCTATGCATATTTTAGAAGTTTGCTTCCTATCTTATATATATTATGCTGGTCTGATGCATATTTTAGAAGTTGACAGCACTTCAACAACATAACCCAGTCAGTATCTTATGAGCCCATTTTTTTAGGAAGGACGACCTCAGCTATTAAGAAATCTAACCACATAATAGCTAGGAACATTATTGAAATTTTGTTCATGCCATCTTATGTCAGGTGGGTTCGAGATACCTTGATCATTTGATAATTGAAAGAAAATATGCTGAAGCTGCACGCCTCTGTCCAAAATTGTTGCGAGGATCTCCTTCAGCATGGGAGAGGTGAGAAAAAAAGAAGTGTTGATATACATTGTATCCTTCATCATACGATCTGGAACAAACACAGGAGCATTATGAGATTTTGATGTGCATTGTTTGTTTTAGTTGATCACTAGTATATCTACTGACCATAACTTTTTTTGTGCCACAGGTGGGTCTTTCACTTTGCCCATCTTCGCCAACTTGCTGTATTAGTTCCTTACATACCTACAGAGAATCCTCAGCTGAGTGATACAGCTTACGAGGTGCCATTACTTCTTTCTATTTTGCTTGCTTGCTCTTTACAACACCTCTGATTCTAATACTAATTCTAATTGGTTTATGTAGGTTGCTCTTGTAGCTTTAACTACCAATCCTTCTTTTCATGAACTTCTCTTGACAACTGTAAAAAAATGGCCACCTACATTATACTCCGCTTCACCTGTCATATCTGCAATTGAGCCACAGCTAAATTCCTCTTCAATGACTGATTCATTAAAAGAGGTATGGAAACATTTTCTTAATGGATGTAAGACTTACACAGTATTTTTGAGCTCTTTGACATCTTGGTTCTGTTTGCCATGTAGGCTTTAGCTGAATTGTATGTCATCAACAGTCAATATGACAAGGCCCTTTCTCTGTATGCTGAAGTAAGTATTACCTAACTTGTAGTTAAAAGGTTCACATTGCATTAAATTAATAGAATTTTGTTTTATTACCTGTATTGTTGACCCAACCTCATTTCATTCAGCTCTTGAAGCCAGAAGTATTCGAATTTATTGAGAAGCACAACTTGCATGATGCCATTCATGACAAGGTATGGTTAAAATTCCCAAATGTAGGATAAAACTGATCTCACTTGACTTTTTTTTTCAAGTTTGCATTTGTGAATTGTCAAGTGTCATGGTAGCAATTGTCTAATAATGGTACTTACATATGGTTACAATGTAGTTGAACATGATAATATATTTTAGACAGAGACAGGCTTCAATAACCTCCATATATTCACTTATGGGCCTTGCGTATTTCGCAGGTTGTCAATCTTATGATATTGGATAGTAAAAGAACTGTAAACCTATTGATCCAGCATCGTGATACGATCCCCCCGAATGAAGTTGTAGGACAGTTGTTGCATGCTAGTAAAAGTTGTGACAAAAGACATTTGTTGCATCTGTATTTACATGCTCTGTTTGAGACAGACATGAATGCTGGAAAAGACTATCATGACATGCAGGTATGCTGATTCTTCTGTGAACAAGCAGTCTTTATCATACTGTTCACCTCCTGCCCATTTGCCCTATTTCTGTAGCTCTAGTTTTTGTATTAGTATAACAGCTAACCACATTACACTTTGTGTTGTAGGTGGAGCTTTATGCAGAGTATGAGCCAAGGATGCTAATACCCTTCCTCCGTACCAGTCAGCATTACAGGCTTGACAAGGTCATAAACTCATAATTCTCAAAAGAGAAAAAAAAAGCATTCATTATCTTGAGAAGGATGAGTAATGAATGACATGTGGTTATTTCAGGCATATGAAATCTTTGCACAAAAAGAGCTTGTACGGGAGCAAGTTTTTGTGCTTGGTCGTATGGGAAATGCAAAGGAAGCTCTCTCTACAATTATAAACAAATTGGAAGATATTCAGGAGGTCCTAATGTGGTTATGATCATTTTGTTAAAAATTTGGGGCTAGACTAGCAATTCTAGACTGTGGTTGGATTGCAATAACAGTAACCTTGGATGCAGGCCGTTGAATTTGTGATGGAGCAACACGATGATGAGTTATGGGAGGAATTGATAAGACAGTGCCTCCAAAAACCTGAGATGGTAATTGAGCTGTGTATTCTGTTCAATACTCTTGACACTGATGTTCCTTCTGTTTATTCATTGCATTTTTGTAACCGTTGAGCAGGTTGGAATGCTGTTGGAACATACTGTTGGCAATCTTGATCCTTTGTACATTGTTAGTTTGGTTCCTGATGGGCTAGAAATACCAAGGTAAATGTGCCAAAATTTGTTTCGTTCAAAGATAATGAGAACCTACCCCCAAAAAAAAAAACATCACATATACACCTTACGAAACGAATTTCTATCATCAGATGATCAGAAATTCAGAATCCACCAATTACTTATATACAAATTATTAGCTATGACCATCACTCAGTTTATTATAATAATTATAGGGCTATATTGACACTGTAGAATAGAGATGCTACAACTTTATTTAATCCAATCCTTCTCTTCCCTGGTTCAAGTGTTCATTGAAATATTACGCTTTTGATAGGTTGCGGGATCGCCTTGTGAAAATTGTGACAGACTATCGAACAGAAACTTCATTAAGACATGGGTGCAATGATATACTTAAGGTTAATATTCAAGAAAAAGATATACTTAAGGTTAGTTGTCTATTTATTACCCCACATCTATCTTGACGTTTGATGACCCTGCCATGTACAGGCTGATTGCGTAAACCTTTTGGTAAAATATTATCACGAGGCTCGGCGTGGAGTCTACATGGCTAGTATGGACGAGGAGGTGACAGGAACTAGGGTTGCTGAAGGATCTTCACGAGCAAACGAGAGATCATCAAGTTTACGAGCTTTAGAGATCAAATCCAGAACAAGGTGTGGTGCTCGGTGTTGCTTGTGCTTTGATCCTTTGTCGATTCAGGACATCTCTGTCATCGTGTTCTACTGCTGCCACGCATATCACACGTCTTGCCTCGAAGGCGGGTTGGACTTGATGAAATCGAACAGTAGTACTCAGGACAGCGACGAGGATGATGAAGGTACCCCATCAGGCGAGTCTCGAATGCGCTGTGTATTGTGTACTACAGCTGCTGCATAATAACTTATTTCGTAACGAGTAGTCCATATCCATGTGTTGTGTTGTAAGTTTGAGCCTTGTAATTAGCGTGTTATTCTGGCGTGATAAATATGTACAATAGGTTAATTCTTTGGGGGGAAGCCATATCCTCAGCAAGAGGAGTTTTGTGTAGATTTGACAGATATGTTGATTACTTGAGCAAAGTTGTACGGCATTTTTCTTAATGCCACGAGTGCCAGACCATCGGAAGTTCATTCCGATTCTTATCCATGTTCTTTGTTTGCCACGAGTGCACGTGTAACTATGTAAGGAATAATTGTACCTGGTGCTACAAAGATTAATTGTTTAAAGTTGCGTTGTACTCGGTTCTATTTTGAAAAAAAAAGGACATTCAAGTAATAAACCTCTTAAATCGCAAATTCGCTAGTAAGGTCCCTTGAGGTGGAACCTACCTATCCGTTAGGCCGGTGGAACCTACCTATCTGTTGGGCTATTGGGCTGTGTTCTTTTCGGTGAGTTTTGCTAAATGGTGGTTTTTTTTTAAAAAAATATATACGAAAGTTGTTTTACAAAAATCATACTAACCCTTATTAAAAAATTTAAGTACTTAAATTAATTAATTATAAGAAAATATGCTGTTCCAATTTACATGCATGGAAGGTGAGTTTCCAACCTCAACTCTCGAATACAGCCGATTCAACGTCCATCCGTGTTAAGTCTCAGAAATATTAAGGCCATTAATCTTTGGATGTGGTTATAGAGATAGGGTTCAGAAAAAAGTAAACCTCCTAAATCACATGAAAGTAACTTGTCGAGCCATGGGAGCTGTAAGCTGAACAACCAATTCTGATTTGCGTTGATTCCTTTTCGCGATCTATTGCAATTTTCTACATTTCTCTGATCTCAAACTACTATAGTGAAAATAAAAAAAAAATCCTTCATATATTTACACATGAATACATGATTAACGCGGGAACTGCTATACAACGGGATCTCATCCAAACGGGATGATACCAAGCAAGTAGCCGATTTCGATACCTATTGGTGTTGGATTTTATACCTTATACGTATATTAACTAATACCTCATCGGTACCAACCGATACCCGTATGGTCTCTGCCTGACCACTTAAATTATTATCTCCTGTGACTCCTTTGTATGAGTTTGATACATTATCTTCCTCATTTCATCTTGATTCTGGATATGATATGATAGTTCCTACTAACCGTTCGAATGAAGGAATTTCAGATAAACTAATTCATTTCCGGCTTTCGGCAAGAATTTGGAAAAAATATGGCGTACCAATGGAGGCCATTGTAATATATTTCCACCGTCTTCAAAATTTTGCATAGCTAGAAGAAATTTCAGCTGGCTACTAGACTATTCTCGATTTGTTATGATGACGCTAAAAACTGGCTTAACTGCTTCAACGCACCAGAAGAAGTGAAAAAAATATATTCAAAACTTCTAAAGCAAATATTTTCTCGTATTAGCACTGTTGTGAATTGCGAGTGCCCGATCTAACATTTGCTAACAGTAACACTATAGAGCCTGTTCTGGTTCAACCTACTTACCCCTAATTTTATTTTTCTAACAGCTTTCAGCTGTTTTCCAAATGTATTGTTGATTTCATCCACAAATATATTTTGTCACTAATTTTAAGAGGTGCATTTTTGTGGTTGAGACAATGTCAGCATTTTGCAATCATCAAACACAATGAAGTACGGTGTACTTAAAGCTCTCTTAGTTTGTTCTACAAATTTGAATGTTCTCTTCATAAGTTCTGCACGCTCAACAAAATACGAAATGAATTCTGAAGAGAAAAGGAGCATATATAGTAGCCCATGAGCACAGTTTTGGTCCTAGCATGTGAATGAAAATTATTTGAACATAGAATCAATCGACAACTTAACAGCATGTCAACATTATGCTCAAGCTTCTTATATATTTCAAATTCAAAAGGATAACCCATGGTTCCCTCTATTAAACCATGGAAACTATATGTCTACATCCAATCAACTAGTTTTCAAGGCAGGAACTAAGGCAGCAGGATATACATTCGAGTTAATTACTAGAAGATAAATTCATTGTAGAATCAGAAAATTTAGACCAATCAGGCTAAGATGCGGCACACCATTACACCCAGAAGATCTACAGCTCCAGTCACCACATAAGACAATCATTCTTTGGTCCGATTAAAAATTACCATTGCCAAATATCTGCAAAATATAACCCCCTACTCAAACTCCTCAAGTCCTTGTCCCCTTCTACACTCTGCAAAATAGACCATTGTATAAGACATGGCAAGCTTCCTAAAAATATTTGTTCAGAAAAACAATCTACTACTACTTGCAGATAGGAATTGGTTTAAATAGCCTACATACTTGCAGGGGTAAGCAAAACAATGACGGAGCAGCACCAGCGTATGCTACAGACCACAGAAAAACTGTGGCTGTCCCACATGAGCACCACCATGCCTCCCGAAGAACGCATGGTTGACAAGGCTTTCTTTCAAACAATGCCTCATAGCACATGGAAGCATGTTATCCAAATGGATTTTCTCCCGCAAATTCCCCTTGGTGTCACACAGAAACAAGAACACAGAGCTCTGAATGTAGACCAGAATTTCCCCACGATGACATACGATTTTCCATGAAAAGAAACCTTCCCTTGCAATGCTCCTCATTCTCGCCACGGGCAATTTAACGTGGTACCTCAACGACCAGACCTCCGTCTCATAGTCCTGAAGAACCCAGAGTTTGGCCATACCTTGAGTCACAATGCCAATGCCAAGCATACCACCATCAATCTCAACCAAATGTGCACCATAACCATCAACATTTGGAGAAACCATCCACCTGAAGGACTCAGCCACCGTGTCGAAAACGAGTATTGCGTCTTCCGGTTTACGGAGGTGCCAGTGCAGGCAGCCATGGAGCAACACGGGTGGGAGAAAGCCGATCTCATCAATCCAGAACACGGGTGGGAGAAATGCCTCAGGTAATCCAATGCGCCGCGGCTTCTCCGACGAGCCGACCGCGAGGATGCAGACGGCATCGGGATACTTCCATTTGAGGACGCGGTACTCGCCGTCGCCGGAAGATGGGTGCGGGTACAGGGTGACCTGGCTGCCGCCGCCGGTGAGGGCTGGGACTGGCGTCACCTGGCGCGTGGCCGGGTTGCAGATGTAGAAGGCGCGGCCGGAGACGAAGAGGAGGAGCCCGTCGCAGGAGGAGTGGATCTTGAAGCTCTGGTGTTGGCGGTAGTCGCTGAAGCCGAGGACGCGGCGGCGCTCGGCGGGGTGCCGGATGAGGTCGACGGAATCCACGGCGGCGTCGGCGTCGGCGGCGGCGCCGCTCCTCCACCTCGCGCAGCCGAAGACGAGCGGGCGCGGCGGCTGGTGGCGGTGGTGGGCGAGGAGGAAGTCGGCGGAGGTGGCCAGGCGGCGCCAGTCGCGGCACACGGCGTGGCAGCGGAGGAGCCCCCTCGCCGGGAGGCGGGCCAAGATCTCCCACACGAGCTCGTCGGGGAGGACGGGACCGGCCGCGGCGCTGAGTAGTCTCGCCCTTTTCGCCATGGCCGCCGCGCCCCTACTCCGATGAAGTCGGCGACTCGCGACGGGGAAATTGTCTTAGGGCAAACTGACCTAGCTACCGTGATTGAGAGAGACGGAGATTGATCTTGTTTTCGTGCAGCCGCATTAACCTTAATTAATCCTAATCTCTTCCTCCTCCTCGGTTTCCTCGCAACCAATTCCGCCTTGGTCTCCTCCCCTGCCGCGCCCAGCGCGCCGATCGCCGGCCCCCCCCTCCTCCTCCTCCCACATTATCTTCTCCAAGCCGCCGGAGACACCGCCGCTGTGTCATGTCGGGAGAGATGGCCCAACCGCATAGGTTGAAGAACAGAGGAAGGCGCATTCTGGAAAGACACGACTCGTGAAGAAGGAAATGGACTCCATGGAATGTAAGTACTGGCGTGAGTGACTGGCAGGTGGGGCCCTGAGGACGAGTGCGTGTGTGGGAAGAAAAAATTTTGAAATAATACTGTTTATCGATTGATTGTGCAAAAATATACCGGATAGCGAAGGATTTGTGGAAATAAACCAGAGCGATACCACCGATGTTCGCTCCTGGAAAGTGCGATAGCGTGGCGAAATCGCTATATGAAAGAGCAATAGCGAAGTTGAGCTGGCGCTCTCGCGCAAACGAGACGCGTGACCGCAGCGGTATCGCGCCCGCGACTACCTCGGGCGGAGCCATCGCTCTCGCACTTTTGTTGCGCGAGACCGAGGTCGGTATCGTAATATGAAATCGCGAGACCGGTTATGACGCGACGGGGGAGACGTGGGCACGCGGTATCGCGCTTTGCGCGTGCGAGACTGGTGACGCGGCATGCGCGAGAGAGAGAAAGCCTGGGGGAGGGCAGTGGGCCCGCGGCGTCGCGCTTTGGGAGCACGAGACCGATCGCGGTGTCGCTATACGCGTGCACGAGAGCGAGGAGCGCAGTGGGGCAGCATTGTCGCGCTTTGCGGGCGTGAGACCGCGCGTTGTCGCGCTTTGCACGCGCGAGACAGCGGGCGGTCTCGCTCTACGCGTGCGCGAGAGCGAGGGTATCGAGGGAGCGGCAGTGGGCTCGGTCTCGCGGTCCGCATGCGCGAGACCGTCCTCGGTATCGCGCTCCACATGCGCGAGAGCGACGACGCTTTTCGCATCCGACGCCACCGACACCTTTATTTCCCATATGTATTTCTTTTTGCTTTTTGCACGGGTTCTAGCCATCTACCTTAGCTTTTTAGGGAGGGGTGGAAGATCTCTGTGCACTCTCTTATCAGTTTACTGTTGTAGTCACATCATGCCGGCCATTTCTAACCGCTGTAGCGTTTGAATCCAATGCGGTCACGGGGTTAAATTGAGAGGAGAGGAGATGGTCTTCACAGAGGAAGACAGAAGGGAGTGAACTGAGGAGGAGAGGAAGAGCAAGAGAAGAGAGGAGGCAGTGCAGGCAGTGGAGAGAAGGAAAAAAAGACACGTAAGTTGATTAGTTTTCTATTAGCACAAATTCGTAAGATGAGGATTTAGAAAATATTAGTTCACGTAGTTAATATTTGTTTTTAATTATGTCAGAGAAAAATTTAGGTATGTATTAGTTACTACTATTTTATATTTTGTTAGGTCGTATGTAAAAATAGAAATGTAGAAAGTTAATAGAGTCGATTCGGGTTAAAAAATAGGTAGACGTAATTAATTTTTAAGGTACAAAAGTATAATATAAGTTACAATTAATTTATACGTAGCAGTAATTATAATTTATAATTAATTAGTAGTTCATATGATGTTTAATTTTATATATACGACCAATATTATATGTAACAAATGAAAAAAACTGAAATATTAATAGTTATATTTGTAGTTATTGATATTGATATTAATAGTATTGATAATTATTAAATATGGTACAAAAATTAAATTAAAGTTGTAATTAATTTGTAGTAATTTTAAGTTACAATTACTTAGTAGTTCATGCAGTTATTTATTTTGTAAGAAATGGAAAAGGTATAAATATTCGTTAAGTAGCTGGAAATATATGGTGTGCTTAAACACATGCTTAACATGGTAGGTAGTTACGAACGAACAAAGAAATATAGTACTACGAAGAACTTTGAAATTGGGACTTTTATATGAGCAAATTGGTTGAAAAGAAGAAGGCAAGACAAGGTATGGTTCTATAACGGAAGAAGATGTAGTAAATTTTTACTATAATTAATAGACAGTTTGTAATTTATTTGGTATTGTAATTAAAGTGCAGTTAAATAAATTTATGTCGCTGCAACTAGTTTTATACTGTTGGAGGCATGCCATGAAGCCCTTCGGCCGGACCTGCCGAAACTATAGTACTAGCAAGGATTCAAGCCAAAGACGTCAAGGCCATTCAGGCGAAGCCCTATGGCGGAAGCCATAAGCGAAGATGGCGAAGGCTGGAAAGCCGCGTTGGTATTATGAAAGTAAAGGCATCTCGGGCGAACTACAAAGACTTCGCCATGACGAGTTCGGCATCAAGGAGGCCCAACAGGCCGCCCCCAGCCTTTTAGGCCCGTTTGCCATAGACCAGGCCCAGCCTATCAGCCCATGCCCATATGTGCAAATGACACTGCATACCCATATAAATGTCCCTTTCATAAGGGCAACCATGTAAAATCTCTTGCAACCCTAAACCCTAGGAGGTGCAAGCTTGTGCTAAGGCTATAAATAGACCTCTAGGGCCATGTAATGGGGGATCCCCAAAAAAATATTTCACGAATCAATACAATTGCTTTTACATTCCAACTACTATTGAGAGAACCACGCCTTTCGACGTGGCATAGTTGTCCATTCGACAACAGCTGGCGCCGTCCGTGGGGAACCTAGACCGAAAGGGCGAAATGGGACCCCTTTCGCCACACCCACACCCTTCACCACAGTACCCGTGAGGTACGGCGACAAGGGCTTGGGGCAAAAGTGAGTTAAGTCCAAGCTGGGGGGCTACGAAGCCACCCCAGCCTCTAGACACCTTTCGCCATACGCCACGCCCTTCGCCATAGTGCCAATAAGGCACGGCGTCAAGGGCTGCGGGCGAACAGGGTTCGCCAAACGCCACGCCCTTCGCCATAGTGCCAATAAGGCACGGCGTCAAGGGCTGCGGGCGAAGAGGGTTCACCAACCCACGCCCTTCGCCATAGTGCCAATAAGGCACGGCGTCAAGGGCTACGGGCGAACAGGGTTCGCCAAACGCCACGCCCTTCGCCATAGTGCCAATAAGGCACGGCGTCAAGGGCTGCGGGCGAAGAGGGTTCGCCAACCCACGCCCTTCGCCATAGTGCCAATAAGGCACGACGTCAAGGGCTGCGGGCGAACAGGGTTCGCCAAACGCCACGCCCTTCGCCATAGTGCCAATAAGGCACGGCGTCAAGGGCTGCGGGCGAAGAGGGTTCGCCAACCCACGCCCTTCGCCATAGTGCCGATAAGGCATGGCGCCAAGGGCTGCGGGCGAAGAGGGTTCGCCACACGCCACGCCCTTCACCATAGTGCAAATAAGGCACGGCGTCAAGGGCTGCGGGCGAAGAGGGTTCGCCACACGCCACGCCCTTCGCCATAGTGCCAATAAGGCACGGCGTCAAGGGCTACGAGCGAAACATGCCACGCCCTTCGCCATAGTGCCAATAAGGCACGACGTCAAGGGCTGCGGGCGAAGAGGGTTCGCCAACCCACGCCCTTCGCTATAGTGCCAATAAGGCACGACATCAAGGGCTGCGGGCGAACAGGTTTCGCCCATCCACGCCCTTCGCCATAGTGCCAATAAGGCACGGCGTCAAGGGCTGCGGGCGAACAGGTTTCGCCACACGCCATACCCTTCGCCAAAGTACCAATGAGGTACGGCGTCAAGGGCTGCGGGCGAAGAGGGTTCGCCAACCCACGCCCTTCGCCATAGTACCAATGAGGTATGGCGTCAAGGGCTGCAGGCGAACAGGTTTCGCCACACACCCACGCCCTTCGCCATAGTACCAATAAGGTATGGCGTCAAGGGCTGCGGGCGAACAGGTTTCGCCCACCCATGCCCTTCGCCATAGTGCCAATAAGGCACGGCGTCAAGTGCTGCGGGCGAAGAGGTTTCGCCACACGCCACGCCCTTCGCCATAGTACTAATAAGGTACGGCGTCATGGGTTGCGTGCGAAGAGGTTTCGCCACACCCACGCCCTTCTCCATAGTTCCAATAAGGTACGGCGTCAAGGGCTGCGGGCGAACAGGTTTCGCCCACCCACGCTCTTCGCCACAGTACCAGCGAGGTACGGTGACAAGGGCTGGGGGCGAAAATAAGTTAAGGAGTTGCTCCCAAGAGCAGCCGAAAGAGATTTATCATTTTTCAAGATACTCCGAGGGGCCGGCAAACTCAATTGGACACCTGAGTGTCAAGCTGCCTTCAATGGGCTAAGGCAGTACCTTCGGCACTAGTGTAAATATCCGTTCGGAAAAACATTTTCTGCCGATTCAGTGTGCCGAAAGAGTTCATTACCGACAATAACAAGTGGTTTGACTCCGAGAAGTCCAAGGAAATGTGCAAGGGGCTAAAACTTGAAATCAAGTTCGCATTGGTTGCACACCCGCAGACGAACGGGGCAGCCGAAAGGGACGAACAACAAAACCCTAGCAGCACTAAAGAAAAGACCGAAAGCTGGTAACAGTTAAAAAGGTTGAAGTACTAAAAAGACTGAAAGCCAGCAACAGTCAAAACGATCAAAGTACCTAAAAATACCTTTGCCAAAGGAAAAAAGGGGAAAGTACGAGCCGAATAGCTGTAACACGCACCACACCCCATTTATTTGCCAAAAAGCACAAGTTACAGATAAATTCCATTGCCCGCCAAAAGGCATTCAGACTTTATATCCGATTCATCAGCAAAAGCAGTCCTCAAAGGCGAAGGACTACCCCCTTAGCATCTTCTTCATCGCTAGTTGTTAAATCAACACAAAAAATTTTTAAGCGGTGAAGAAGGAAAAACGGGGATTATGCTACGTCGACGCTGGGCAATGGCAAACTGACGCTCAGTCATATAAAATTCATGGGTGTCTTCGCCTTTTTTGTGTATGATATTTCGTGGAAAAATCCCAAGGCAAACATTTGATCGACGAAAACGCCAGGGGGGCGATACGAATCGGCCGAAGCATAGCTCGCCGAACGTTGAAACCGCGACAGCTCGTTTTCGGAAAACATACCGATCGTCGCTACACTCGACTTATGCAAATACTTAAGCGTTTCTGGACGCACATGCCAAAATTTGAGAGTGAATGATGAGGGCTGAAAAGTCAATGTGAATTCCTTTCGCTAACACGCAAGGGGGCCAACACGCCTCGCCCTTCCGAACGTACAAGTTACAAAATGTGATGATAGCGAAAAGAAACATAA